CTTGTCTAACTAACATCCTGCAGAGGTGAACTCAACTGCTTAGTTAAACTGTGCTGATACAGACATTTCTTTGCTTGGTTCAAACACACAGAAATTGTATGTGTCCCAAAAGGTCTCACTTTTCCAGCTGGTTTAGCTTGGTCTAAAACCTGAGTATTTCTACCTACATATTATGCCACAGCATCTGTATTTTAATTGCTGCTTCAGTTTCTTTAATCTACTCACTGTATTTAGGAATACAAGAAATGTATGCTGGGTACTGTGCCTTTCTCAATGCTCTTCATTAATTAGTAAGCTTTTTCATGAGACAACCCTGCTGCCATTGACTTTGCTGGGAGGAAATGCAAACTCATGACATCTCCTCCACAAATTGTACAGTCCAGGGCTTTTTAATGTATCTTCTCTGGAAAAGCATTTCCTCTCACATCCTATGTCTTCTCATGTTTGTTCCCCCTTCCGGTACCTACAATTACGTCCTCTTTAAGATGGGATGGCAAAGTTAGTTTAGGAGACTCTTCAGTCACCCTAAATATATTTAAAAAAAAAAAAAATGGAAACAGAAAAAAGAAAAAAATAGAACATCTGATTTACAAACTTTTCATTTTCAGTAGCTTAGGCTCAGTTACTCAAGCCAAGAAAAATTTATCTCGCAAGAAACAGTATTGAGAAAAAAGTTTCAGGCATTCTGTTGTTTCCATCTGGGCTTAGTGTGCCTTATACAAACTCATATTTTCTTAGGCAGAACCTCTCTCAAAGACATGTTGGAAAAGGTAAGGCCATAAATCTGTGTTAGGTCCAGATGTGCAAGGCTCTGATGCCTAAAAGTCATCCCAGCTTATTTTTATAAATGCTTCCATGGTTTGTTTAGGCAAAGTAATGCATGCACAGTAGAAGAAAATCACTCAATGTACATCTGGTAGATATATGATATATAAACTGTACATAAAAGCACAGAGTTGAGGACCAGAGCAACGGTTCAAACATTTGTTAGAGAATTTTGCTCACAGATCATAAACCCAGTAACAGGCACAGTCTTCTGCTCAAGTCTTCTAGAGTTTATACGATTCAAACTATATGTACATCTCTGTATAACCATGTGTATTTGCCCTCCATCACAGCTTCTGAACAGCTGAACACACAATACAGATGCAGATTTCTATTTACCATCACCCCCAAAGAAGTATCTTTCTCACTACACAAGAAGTTTAGAGTTTTTCCCTAACATAAATACTTAATGTTGAAAATAGGATTTTTATTTTTAGTTGGAATAATGAAATTGTGATATTTCACCATTGCAAACAAGTAATTTTCTTTTAGTACCATATGTCATTAAGATTTATAACCATTTTCTAAAATACCTGCCATACACTTACTACCTTTTTCTCCTTAATAGCATTATATAAAATTGTTCCTCATCATACTTTTAAATATCACTCCTATTAACAAAACCACTGATTAATTTTAGTCAGACCCTGGCCTACTCTTTCAAAAAATTAAATTTAAAATAAAATGAAATAAAAATAATTAAATAATTCTGACTACTTCTTTACAAATAAACCTGACATGAAAACTTCTAAGTACTATAAAACAGTGTCCTCACCCTAATGTTCAGAATTTCCTGAGGGAAACTAATACAATATGTTTATGAAGTGTTCAGAAAAATATTCAGGCAACCCAACAAGCTGTCATCTTATATACCTGATTTAAACTGGTTATACACCTTACACAATATGTAAAAAAAGTACTTGCTGAACAGACAAAACAACCTCGGAATAGTTACTTGAAATCAACATCTAGGCTTTGGGTTTCTATTATTTGGGATTACATCAAGGCCAGCCATTAACTTCTAAATAAAAGAAGCACTTGTTCTAATAATAGAAAACAGCCACCACAAGTTTTACAATGGCCATAGTAATACTGTGACACTGAGCCCTGCTATAAACAGGAGCCATGTGGCATGAAATTTTCCATGAGTATCCTAGGAAAGAAAACGCAGCAGTAAACATCATTAGTCAAGCGAGACCTACACGTCATAAGCAATAGGCAAGAGTCCAGGAAGGCCACAAGGTTAAAATGCTTTGTTAGAGTAATTATAGGATTTGAAGGATTAGGCTGAACCAAAAGATTTAAGGACATGGAAGGATTAAAGGCAGAAATAAATAAATTAAATTTAAGAGAATGAAGATATAGAAGGCAGCACAAAAACTATATTACATTCAGTAAAGGTTTTTAAAGAAGAATTGTTAAATAAATTAGCTGCAATTGCAGGCAATGTTAAATTGCTTTATTTGTTTGCTCTTCAGCAACTGAATCTGCAGAGTGAAACAAAAAAAAATTAAAATCTGTATATTTCTGAGATTAAAGACCTAACACAAGCACATATTTGAGGTGAAATTCCTTAACAACCTCTTTGTATCCCAGAACATATAGTCATCATGTATTCTGTAGCTGCTATGAAACTGAAGGCCTGGTATACAAACCGCAGGGGAGATCACACCCACCACAGCCTATTATTGAAATCTGAAGATTCTTGACATACACACAGAAAATTCCAATCTTTATCTTATGCCACCAAGTTACAACATTTCATAAAGCTTGCCAAGCTTTTTTGAAAAGCCTACTGTCCTTATAAACTATTAATAGTGAGAATTAGCTCACTGCATTTATCCCCAAGAAGATCTACAGCTTCTGTGTCTCCAATATTGTGGATGAGAAAAATTATTCAAGGGTTATGATGTCTGATTGATCCTTAGCTCATGAAGCAAGAAGTCGCCAGAAGATAAAACAACCACAACATAACCACAGATATACAACAGTAAACATAAAGGTTTGGTTTTGTTGGGTATTTTATGAAACAGTCACTCACAATTGCAAAAGAATATCAATTTCAGCACAGCTATGCAAAGAGAGTAAATAAGGTTTGAAAAATAGATACCAGCTTTTATTTGGAGTTACTTCAGCAGATGACACCTCTCTCTTCTTCTTTTTTTGATAATGTTTAGAAATAAACAGCATCTGGGCATCTCAGTAAGGATGTCTGACAGAAGTTCAAGACATTTAAAAAAAAGGACAAAATGAAAAAGGGGAGTAGGAAGAAAAATCAGTTACTTGTGAAAGAAAGTAAAATGAAGAGGAAAGTGTTCAGTATGTAGATGCATAAACCAGACACAGGATTCAAACACAAAGCTCAGACAAGAGAGAACAAATGAACATAATGTTTATTTTCGAAATTTAAGTTTCTTCTATTCCATCTGAAGACATCCACCACCACAACAGTATTACCACGTTTGATTCAACTGCACTGCTCAGCCTAACGACAGCCCACTCAAAATTGACCATAATCCAGTGTGTGGGCACCACCTTCTGGTCAGCGGCGGGAAGGCAGAAAAAAAATAACGGTTAAAACTAATTTTTAATTCATTTTTACCGGGCACGACATTTAACAGCATAATTTTGATGCGAAGATGAATGCATACAGTTTTACTATCTCATCATGTTAGTAGTTGTGGGTCTGAAACTATGATAATTATCATTCAGATGTCTGACTTCAAACAAAACCAGATAGTGTTAGCAACCCCAAAAATCATACCCTAGATTCTTCATACATTTTCTTAAAGGTCTTTATTAAGGCCTAGATGTTTAGTTTCTCTCAAAATTATCATCCTAAAAGCATATTTTTGCTTAAGGAACATTAAATGAAGCTGTGAAGTGGTTGGTATTAATTTATCGATTATAAAAGATTCTAGTTACAAATTTTTATTCACCTTTCTTGAATATTACAGTATGGTGTTTTTCTTTCTTAAGTGGCTAATTGCCTTTTTCAGTCAGATAGCAAACTGTTTCACAGGATTGCAGAAATTCAGACACTAGCCCAATTCACAGATTCTGTAATTACACCTGACTTTATTTCTACAGTAGAAATGGATGCAGTATTCAGGAGCAGTATGTTACAAAGAATCCCAACTTGTCATACTGATTCATAACTTACTATTCATTCAGTCAGCTTGAGTTAGCCTGTCTCAGATTGCAATAAGGCAAAACTTTATATATTTGAATAGAGCATATATTTCAGCTGAACTATGTTCTAATCAAATATTGTCATCCTACACCAATCATTTTTTTATTAATAATGGACATTTTCATTTTGAGGAGTGGTAGGATTCTGGAGGATGTTGATACCTGCTTTTCTGCATCACTGAAAAATCAAGCCACTTTTCTTACAAGCTGCTGTCATTTTCAGCAAAAAATTATCAGTTGTTTGCTTTCTAAAAAAAAACATCATCTCCTGACAGCCCACACTGACAAATTTTGCTATGCTCCCTTCAGGGTGCTGAGGCCTGACAATTAGGTTTCTAGCGGGATTGTTAGTCCTCATGTTCATTTGTGGCAGGTTAGTGATTAAATCATTCTCAGAGTGGGTTTTGGGAATTTTTTTAATTGTAAAGCTGATCACCAGTAGCAGGGATGGCTACCAGTTCCTCTCATATGGGTCACTGACCAGACACCAGATGGTGGAAATACTCTGTTCCTACTAATCTGGCCCAGAGCTGGCAATTCAGGGGAGAAAAGCTTTATCCCATTACCAACTGCCTGAGCCATCCTGTCTCATACCTGCAGGCTAAAGATACTTAATAATCTTGAAGTAACTACCACCCCCTCAAATATCCTATCTACAACCCATCCCAGGCACTTACTGGGCAGATCTCAGAAAACATCCATAAATGTCAGTACACTTTATTGAACTTAAATTCTACCTAAGGAGGAATAAAAAAGAAGCCAGGCTGGTAAAATAACGCCACCAATTGGCATAGTGCTACTTATACAACAGCTGGAAGAAAAACTTTAGTGCAAATAAAATATCAGAAAAAATAGAAGCTACAGGGAAAAAATAGAAAATACAATTAGAAAATAGTCAAACATCTTAATCAGCTCGGAACAGTAGAACTATGTTTTTTTTAGTGAACGCATTCATCCCATCCTTACAATTTTCTTTGCCTTTGCACAAGTACTTTGTTTTGCTGCACATTAAAGATTTCCATTTTTATACATTAGGCTTCTGTGTTGCATCCAAAATCACTATCAAAATTCCTACTTTCCACCACAAATTTCCAGGGCAACTAGTGTTACATTTGTGAAAATGACACAAAATACATAATTTGGAGTTACAGATAACTGCAAAGGAAACAATTCAAAGAATTACTGAGCTTCTCTATATTCAGACTCAATCAATGAAATTCTTTAAAAATTCAGATGTGTTTAATATCAATATGTGTTTGAGAATATGAGAACACAAGAGGAAGTAGTAGGTTATTTTTATATGTACATATGTTTACATTTCTCTGCATTAGATCTGCATATATTTGGATCTATATTCCTTCAGTTATGAAGAAAAACACGATTCAGATTACATATCATGATCTGACAAAATCCTATTACACCATAATTACTTTATCTTGTCAGACTCTTTTACCCATCTGGAAGATTTGACTATTCAAACCTGTCGAGCAGCACACAAAGAACTCATTTCCAAAGGAACCATGAAAGTAACTGTACAAAATGTGCCCTGCAAAAAGTGTAAGCATAGCTCTCTGGTGCTACCTTAGATATCCTACTGTTCATTCCTCACTCTGTATTTCATACAGCTTGACACAGCAGGTACAGAAAGTTGTGCAGTATATGTAAGTGCTTGATAAGCATAAGTTTTATTTATGACAATTTACTTTATTCATTTACAGCTATGATGTCTCTAAGGACTGAAAATACTCCATCTTTTGTCCATAAAAGCATCCTATAACATCATGCTGTGTGTCATAGTAATGGTAGCAAAAACATTGTTCTAAAGTAATTACATATTCTTGATGCTGATTCTTTTCCTATGATCATTTTTTTTCCTTGAAAATACATAACTAGGCCTTGCCAAAATATTTAAAATACTAAAAATCCCTCAAGTATACACTTTTCTATATTGGAACTGCAGCTAAAATTTTCTTGAGGTTTGAATTTATCGAAATAATTATTTTAAAAGTGTGACATCTTCTTTTTTCAGCTTCAGTAATAAGATTGATATAGCTCTTCTGCCAAAACCCCTTGTTCATCCCAGTGTAGCAAAACTGGCTCCAGAGAACTAAAATAAGCAATGTTAGAGAAGTAGCATTTTCTTAATGGAAACTTCAAACACATTAGAAGTATCCTACAAGTATGGTATACTGGCACTCCCCTATTAGCAGTATACAGAAGCAGCAACATTAGATCTTTCCTCTACTGGTGAAATTTACATAAATTAATTTTAAAAAAAAAGTAAACATGGAAAGGAACGTGGAATTGGAAAAAAAAAACTTTCAAAAAGAATGTAATTTTTCAGTACTTTGCAGTTAATGCAAGAAATTATGGCTTTTTCTTTAATTTAGAATCACAGAATCACAGAATAGTTAGGGTTGGAAAGGACCTTAAGATCATCTAGTTCCACCCCCCACCCCCCGCCATGGGCAGGGACACCTCCCAGTGTTACTTAGGGAAGACAGCAGCAAAAAGTAAGTTAAAATAGGCTAAGGAAGATACTTAGAAAAGGTGTAAGGATGCTTAGCTAAGAAGACTCTTTTCAGGTCCAGATAGTAATGTAAACCAGAGAATGCATATCAAAAACAGAATCAAAGGAAGATACATGAAAGAAGCGAGAATTCTTAATGTAAATGATTTCAGCTGAGTCTGAGGATGGTTAACCCATTAGTATTAGCAGCTAGATGGTCCGTGGTCATTGCTAAGTAACCAAGGTAGTTTTGTGCTTCTGAAAATAGAACTGGACCTTTGACAGAAATTACAGTACTATTACAAAATCTGACCCCTACTTGGACTTGCAGAACAGCTTCTTTTCAGAAGGGGTATTTAATAACCAGGCCCAGTAACAAAAAAAATTATTCTGTTTCGCACCTTGGCTGAACCAAGCCAATTGCTCTGCCCTTTAAAAGCTAAACATAAGATCACTTAAGAAGCTCTTCTGCCATTTCTGCCACTGTCTAGCGTCAGCATCTAACTTAGCCACATTTAGCTGGCAATCTTTTAAAAATGGTTTGGTATCTAACCATGTGCTCCTGACAAACTTCACAAGGTCTGGTTTGGAAAGCTCAAGCATTTTTAAGTGTGCATCATCTGGTAATTGTCACATTCTCTAAAGCAATATATAATCCGTTTCCTTTGATTATGTGTTTGTTTGGTTTTGGGTCAGCATGCACAGCTCAAAGAAAATAATGTTTAAAAACCCTTACTGACCTGGATAGCCACAGCTGACGTGCTCAGGTGAGTAAGAGAACCATGTATATATTAAACACAGCGCACACAGGACAGCTTGAACTGAAACTGTAGCATCTGCAAAAATGGCAGTAAAAGTGACATTAGGATGATTTATGCAAACATAAAGGTTATCCTGCCATAGGAGACTCTGTTAGGCTAGTAAAATGAAATTGTTGAGAGGATAAAATTATTCTCTTATGGCAAACAGACTTCATAGAAGGTGAGAGTCGTTTAAACTATCAGGTAATACTAGCACTAGAGTTTACTCATTTACTCAGGACATGAGTAAATTTAGACTGGAAATTAGAATGCATTCCGAAGCACCAGGGCATTTTTGTCCAAAAGGAGAATGATTATGGTGAAAGACTCCAATGACTTTTTAGATCAACACACTTACGAAACTTCTGAAATGAAACATTGCCTGACCTAAGGACTTGATTATATACTCGCAGCTCATTTTTAATGGTATCAAATGCCTTCTTTGTATAGCAGATTCGTGTCATAAGCTGGTATCTTATGGATCACCTTGTTTCAAAGTCTGATAATACCATGACATGAAAAGCAGGTCACAAAAAGTGGTAATGTAGACTCTGATTAAATCCAGATAGTCTTGGAGTTGTTCAGACACTGAGGAAATATCTTCATAACCTAGTTACAATATAAATCGTCATGCCCAGTTACTTATAGAAGGATGTAATTTGTCACAGCCTGCCCTTCTCCCCTAAAATTGAGAGTAATGTACACTAGGCAAAATTTCAGCCAAGCCAAAATTTTACTGTAACAGGGACAGATGAAGCCTCTATTTTATAGGGATGCTGTGAGATTGTATAAGTAACACACTTCAGATTATAATATATGAGGGGAAGGGGGCACTAAGTGAGGGGAGATGTGTAATGAAACTCACCTTTCCCTTCAGTTATCACTAAAACAAGCCACTCTTCTCCCTGGCTTTAGGTGTGTTCTAAGATGTTAATCTAGATCAAAGAGAGAACTTTAGTGTCACCCAGGCTTCAGGAATACTAGAGCTGCTCACGCTCAACTATAAGCCGGAGCTAGAGTGGGTTTGTCAGCCAGTTGAAACATCGCACACTCGTAACCGCGCTTCGTCATTAGCAGCCTACAAACACGGTGTGTAGCGAGAGCTGCGAGGTTCCCGATACAATGTAAGTATTCAGGGGTGATCAGACATCAGCAAGTTTCCCGTACGCTGCGCAACGCCCAGTTGGAATGCTCCCCCGCGTGTAGCAGCGGCGGATGCTCCCGCACCAGGAGCCCTGCGGGACCGGGCGCGGTCGGGGAAGCGAGGCGGCCGTGGAAGAGAGGCGGCCGGCTTAATACCGCCGCTGCCTGAGGAAGCTCCGCTCCACGCAGGCGAGTTGCGGGGGGAGGGGGGGGGGGGAAGAGGGAAGAAACATCTTTTTCCAACGAGAAGCTGGACCAGACCGGCACAGGTCAGCCCAGCGCGCTGACGGCCCCGGAGCGCGCTCAGCCCGGCAGACAGCCAGGACAGGCCGCCAGGCGGAAGGGGCGGGTGAGACCCATGGGAACACAGCTGCGGCAGCCTGAGCGCCCGCCCGGAAGAACCACCTGGTTGCACACAGCCAGCGCCCCAACCGCCGTACCGTGCGCGCCGCCTCAGGAGGCGGGGCAGGAGGGCGGGGCGGGGCGGGGCAGGAGGGCGGGGCGGGGCGGGGCGGGGCGAGGCGAGGCGCGAGCTGCGGCGGGCTCTGTGGCAGCGGAGCCGGATGCGCCCTCGGCTGCCGGGAGGAGGCGGCGCAGTCGCCAGAGGGCGCCGCATGCCCGCGCGGGCAGCGGGGCGTGGCGCGGCGCGGCCCAGCATGCAGCGCGGCGCCGTTTGAATGGCGCAGGCTGTGGGTGCTGGGTCGCGGTGGTAGTAGTGTTTTGTGGCTTCTTCTCCCACTTGGCGTGGGCCCGCCCGGTACGATGAGCAACGGGTGAGTGACGGGATGCGAAGCTCCCAGGGCAGCGCCCGAGGAGCTAGCGCTTGGAGCAGGGCAGCGGGCAGAGAGCCTTCCTAGCGCGCGGCGCGTCTCCGGCCGCTGAGAAACCGGGAGCGAGGTAATCCTCGGCGAGGCCTTGCGCCTCTCCGCTGGCTCTGGGGCAGCGGGGCGGACGGGGCGGCCCAGGCCGCGGTCTGCCTCGCCGGGGCCAGGTGCTGCTCCGGGGCGCCCCGCCTGGAATGTGGGCTCGGGGCTGCATGCTGGCCGCTGGCCGGGAGCGGGTCTGCCTCCCGCTGCTGTGGCGACCCTAATCTGACACGCTTGCGCCGCTGGCACCGCGGGGATGTCGACTGGCCAGTGCAGGGACACCTGCAGTCCCACCGGCCGGCCTGTGGCACGTCTATTCGGTACTTGCGTCTCCAGCGGGCGAGTTGTGGTGATTTTATCTTTTTCTGAAGTGCTGTCACTCGCCACAACTCAAAAGCAAGTGTGTGCAGTGGTGGGCGAGTGTAAGGAAAGCAGGAAAGGTTCTGGTGCTACCGAAGGGGAGGATAACGAGCTGGGTGTGAAGCCTCCTCAGGGATTTTATTCCTTGGGCGTGACAGATTCCGGGGAGGGGGGAGAGGAGGGAGGAAATCTTCAGACGCTTGAAGATCAGATCCTGTATTAATTGCTTTGTTAAAAAGCCTTCAAGCTTTTTTCTCAGCTGCTGTGCTGGAGTGGTTGGTGTGCTGTTTAGTGTAGAACTAAAAAGAATTTCTGAATAGTGAGATCTGTTAAGGAGAGAGACTGGGAGGTAGCTTTAGAAAATTTTTGTTGCTGTTTTTGTAACATGCTGTGCTTTGGAGCAACATTAAGTCAGTTTGCTTAAAAGCAGCTTTCTTCCATCCAGCTTTCTTGGAACATGAATTTTGTTTTTCCCACTCCTCTGTGTTTTTGTTCCTTCTATTCTTGGGCTATAGTCAGGGAAGGAAATACAAGGTAGTTAGCCATGCTTAGTAGAATTAAAGCATAAGAGAAGGCAAGTTAGTGCCTCTTTGGCCTTGCTGATTGGAAAGAACAGATTGTTCCAGTCAAAGCCTGTCACTTTAATTTCTTAGTGCATACAGTTTTGTTTAAAATTTCTGTAATATCATTTCATCAAAGTCAAGTTACCATTGGTTTGAGTTCCTAAACTTTATAACTCAGAGCTTTATAATAATATCTTATATAAAATACCATAATACTATTTCTGTATATATAAAAACATTACATGTCATTATACTGATATATACATGTCATTCTAGTTTTGTGGACATTCTCTTTTGCCCAGTTGTGATACTTCTTTTTTTGATGTATTTCCATTGGAATATTTTTAACAGTTTTGTATATTGATCCCAGGATAAGAAGCTTGAATATGAATTAAGAAGTCTTTTTAAATGCTATAAATGAACCACATTGTGTTTGAGGGTAACATTAGAAAGTGGTATGATCCCAAGCTGTGTCAGATGTAGTCACAGTGTTCAGCCAGGTTGGGATGAGGTTGGTACCCATGCCTCCACTTAGTTTAGAACTTAAGGGGTTTTCAAATATATCTTTCTCTAGGTTTGAATTTTAAAAATTTGTAGTAGGTTTTTGAAGCTCATTGGTTTGAGCAATGAATAGGAAAAAAAAAATTGAGTAGTTTCTTAAAGCTGATGTCAAATACTAATGGGGAAGGCGCAGTGTACTGGAATTTTATTTCCTATATAACAACTCTCAGATAATGTCAGTAATGGAGTTTTTCCAATGTAACTATTCGTAGGGTGTTCGTAAGTGAAAATCCACAGACAAAAGTATTTTTTCATTGGTGAAGGATGACTTCAGGAAAGATTAAGTCACTCACAACTAATGTTACTTTATGGCAGCTTAAAATATCTGTAAATGGTACATCCAGATGCAGAAAACTGAATACTGGTTTATTTAACTTTTTTGTAAAATTTTTTTCCAGAAGGTGGATAAAGTTCATTTATTAGACCTTTAAGCTGACCCCACAAGGAGAGATAACTCACACCTGGATTCATACTCAACAAACTTAACCAAATCTGACTTGTCATTTTTAAAGGTTCTTGATGAGTACTTGCACCAGAGGGACGCATACAAATTCCATATGTAAGAGTAATAGGAAAGTTAGCTTAAATTATAGGAATAAGCTAACTTACCATAACTAGTTGCTCATATAAGATTTGTCTTTAAGGCAAATCTAATAAAATTCCTCAATTTTGGGCCACACATGAAACTTTTAACTGTAACAAATGGCCTGACAGGTATAGCACATTAAAAAATTGCGTCCTGCTGGCATTGAGGACATGCTTTTTTATAGTGTTGCAGAAAATTTTTGCATTAACATGCTTCTTGGAACTTTTATCTCCAGTTTCTTTTTAAGAGAATTCAGTATTTTACATCTAGTGAACTGTCAGCATAAATTACTAAACAAGGAGATGGGTTGTGGTTTTTTGTTTGGTTTGGGTTTTTTTTTTTAACTCAAACTGTTTCATATTCACACGATGTAGAAGCCATCTAAAACTGAGAGACAGATAGGTTCTGTTAACATTTGTCAGCGTTAAAATGAAAGGAAATTATGCCAAGCTTACAGAATCACTTCTGCATCATGACATAGTTCCAATTTATTTTTGTAGACAGATTACCCTTTTGGAAATAAATGTGGAATAACCATTACTGGAAGTTTCTCATAAACGTTTTAAATCTGATAATGACTAGCAAAGTTACTTGACCGTTGTTAGTTCCCTGATGTATACGTACTTTGAATACTTTCAAAGTATGAACTCCCCTTCTTAGAGAGTAACAGTTAACTCATCTGAGTGTAATACTTGTCATCCTTGAACTTGCAGTATTGTGGTGTGTGTTCTGTAAGAAATAGATGTTATGTTAATACATGTGTAGATTACGTAAGGTGAAGAAAAGTTTGTCCCATTCTGGGGGCCATGCCCAGAATTTAGGATGATGGGAGGGAGTGGTGGAGTTGTTAATACTTGCCTTCGATAGGTACACGCTTGAAAGCCTTTTAGTATGGCTTTCTTTGCGTGATTCTGGTAGTTACATTGCATCTGAGAAAGATCAAAGAAAACAGCAGCAGAGCCATCAAGAATACTTTGCATAGGTACTGTCTATTGGATGTGGGCACTAATGAGCTTACTTATCAGGGTATGTGGCTGCTGTTACCCTAGGCCTGTGTCCTGAAAATTGAAGAGAGTAAAATGAGGAGGAAGGAAGGTTGGCATCTGCTATGGGAAGTCACTCATGGAACGGCTGAAATTGATGGAATGTGAACCTGTCATCTTAATAAAATTGTGTGTCTCTGTTCATAAGTGCAGTGTACGTTGTCACAGTTGTAAAACAGTTTGGGCTTGTGTGATGAAGGGCTGAGGCAGAGCTGAAAGGACTTGCATTCTATCCTTCTATTTTTAAAATTTGTAAAGCAAGGGATTGCATTGGCCTTAATGAGCTGCATGACGTATTGTTCTGAACAAATACAACCAGCTGTGCTTATCATACGGGAATAATCAAAGAATGCAAGATGTTTAAGTGTAAAGTATTAGATCCTGCACAAATTAGTATCTAATGGCAGTTTAAAAATGCTGTGCATATATCCCAAAATAAGTGTTAGTGTCTATTTAGCTGTCTCTAGGTGATGATACCTTATAGCAGGTAGGAAATAAAAGTTACGAAAAACCCTGTAAAGTGCCTGGACAGCTATCATTTTATCATGTGTTACTAAGTCTTTGGAAGCAAGTTTTTTGAGAGATAGGCTAGGTTTGTTATAGCAGCGTTAGATTTAGGTATGCCAGATTGTTTTGCTTATGTTCTGCTCTGTCTCTGGGCTACCCAGGTTGTGTTTCTATATTTAATCATATTTAATAACAGTCTTTAATCTTTTTTTAATGAATTCGCACAGTCTACCCTGGAACCTATGTAAACATTTGGATCTGCAGCATCATGTGGCAGGTTCAGGTTGATGATAATATGCATAAAGATCCACCCCCTTTTGTAAGTTTTGAACCTCCTTCAGCTTTTGACCCTTCATTCTTACATTGGGCACAACAATGAACGATTTCTATGCAACTGTTCCAAGCTATTTGTTTTATAGACCTTCGTCTTCTTTCACCTCTCTGCTATAGGTAGCCTTCTTTCCAGACTGGAAAGCCCTGGTCTGTTCAGTTGTTGATTGTCTGGAAAGTGTTTCATACTTCTTTTAACTTTGTCTGATATTTTTGTTTGTTTGTGTTTTGGTTGATTTTTTTTTTTTTTTTGTTTGGTTGGTTGGTTGGTTTTTGGTTCGATTTTTTTTTGTTTTTTGTTTTTTTTTGGTGGGTTTTTTGGTGTGATTTGTTTGGGTTTTTTTTGTTTTTTATTTAAAAATCTTCTGAGTTGTTTTTATTGTCTTGTGGTGAGTTGGGGTGTTTTTATTTTGTTAAGGGAAGAATACTAAACCTGCACTTAGTACCTGAAATGCAAGCACAAATTAGTTCTGTTTATTATTGATCCATATGGTGCACCGAGCAATCCAAATTATCTAAAATAAACTGTCATATATCTTGTTGTGGATGGCAGTTATTAGCTTACAGCCTGCTCCTGTGCCTGCAGACACACAGGCTTTGTTTTGTATTAATCTATAATCATTGCTGCTTCTTATTGTAAATCACGGTCCTTTAATTCTTCAGTTAGCCCTCATCTTCAGTGTCTAATATAACTTTGTATTGTTGTCCTGGGTTCAGCAGTAGCAGTCATGTTTCTCCTCCTTGGTAGCTGGTGCAGTGCAGTGTTTTGACTTTCGGCTCGGGAACAGAGCTGATAGAGATGTTTTGGTTTGGCCAAGGACTTTGTGAGCCTCATGCTCTGCCAGGGAGGAGGGGAAGCTGGGAGGAAGCAGAGACAGGACACCTGACCCAAACTGACCAAAGAGGTATTCCATACCACAGCACGTCATGCCCAGGATGTAACTGGGAGTTAGCCGGAAGGGCTGGGAGACTGCAGGGTTGGAGGAGGTATCGGTCGGAGCTTGGTCGGGCTTGGGGGGCGAGTTATCGGTCAGCTGGTGCTGAGGTGTTGTATTCTCTTCCCTTGTTATTTCCTTTATCATTGTTATCATTGGTGGTAGCAGTAGTGATCTGTGTTATACCTTAGTTACTAAACTGTTCTTATCTCAACCCGTGGGAGTTGCATTCTTTTGATTCTCCTCTCTGTCCCTCCGAGAGCAGGGGGAGGGCAAGAAAGGGGGGGAAGTGAGCGAACGAATTACCTGACTGGGTTTAAACCACGACAATTGTCAACATCAGTTACTCATCCCCTTTGAGATGTAATCTATGAATATATTGAACAGCATAAACCAATGTAGATTTTTTGTGGGATACCTGCTGTGGACTCCTTCAATGTGGGAACTCCTTAGATTGTTTATGACTTTCTTAACTATTTGTCCACACAAAGTCTTTCCCTCTTATCACTTGGTTGCTTAGTTTCCTCAGGAGTTTTACCTGAGGGACTTCTTAAAGCTTTTGGGACTCCCAGGTAGGTTTTTATCATTTAGTTGTCCTTTACCCATGTTGTACCTAATTTTGCAGGGCATGACTTGCCTTCACAACAGCCAGGTTGAATGTTTCCCAATATATTATTTGTTTGTGTCCAGTAATTCTATTCTTAGTTTACATTGTTTACTAATTTGCACAATGAGATGACGGTCTGGATCTTCCTTGATGCTGTCTTTAAATACTATTTTCCACATGTGATTTCCTTAGGTGCTTTTTCAGCTCTAAGAGAGGTTCTGCACCTTACTTAACAATGCAGCTATTTCGTTACTGCTTATACTCGCAGTTGCTTCTGCATCATCAGAGACCCTCACAAAACAGTTTAAGCTATGGAAACCTCTCTGTAGGACAGTGAACACAGACATAAGGATTTTACTTCACTTCATCTGATGTTCCTTTATATCTGATTATCTGTTAGCCTTCTGGGTTTCTGTTCCCAGTCTTTAAAGAACGGATTGATAGTTTTGTTGTCTTTTCACGTTTCATCTGGGAGGCCAGGCAGCATTATATTCTTAAATCAAATTTGGCAAACTGTGTCCTCATCTTCATTTCTCTTGAACGCATTCAGTTCTTTGTAGGGTGCTTTCTTCCCTCCAGGATAGTTGAAATACCTCCAATGTGGGTATTTTGAGATGTCATTTTAGACTCTTTAGAGCCCAGTATTAAACACTGGTATGCTAATTGAGTTTCCTTGGTAAGGCATTTCTTTCTAGCCTTCAGAAATTTTACACTTCTATTAAATAAAAAACATTCTAGTTTAACAGCACCGTCTTGTATATTGGAGATCAGACTTTTGCTTACTGCGTAGCATGAAAGAGGAGGATAGTTTGAGATCATTTATTGAAGGAGTACATAAGGAGGGGTCACGGTTTTGCATGAAGAGTTGTAAGCTGTCAGTGTGTCATGGAATCAGTTGTGAAAGTTATCCTTCAGGAACAGAGAGCATGGAATTTACTTATTTGTTTTTACCATCTGAGGGGATGATTCTGTGGGGTTCTTTGGTCACTGCATTGCACGTTTGCAGATTATCCTTGCTAATTTCCTGGATTTCACTGCTTTCCCCTCAGCTGTTTTTTCCAAGCCCTCATAGCTTTCTGCCTTCAGCATTAGCCTGAAGGCTGTATTTGTTTGGATTTTAGGGTTGTTAGAGTGGGCTTCTCCTTAAAAGTTCAGTTGTTTGCCCTTGTGTTGTGCTCTAAGTTCAAATTTTAATGTACTGTCCATTTTGAGGCCAAATAATGTTTTTAATGAGTCTGATAAGCAGAGGAATGGTTTATTCTTGTAATTTCTTCTAAGGTCCAGGGAAAAAAAATAAATTACTATTTATTTATAAGCCTGGTGGCTGGAAGCCTTGGAAGTGTTGAGAGCTCACAGGCTGGCAACTATTCTGTCACCATCCCACAGTATGCAGGAAAAAAGTCAATCAAGTTAATGCACTAGTCTTAAGCCAGCTTTGTATCTGCAGAAGTATGGATCACAAACTGTTAGAAGACTTGCCCTAAACAATGCTGCCATTTGCAATTTGTGAAGTCCTTGGCCTGAGGACTCCATACTTCTGTAACAGATGCAGTTCTAAAGACAACTGAAGCATTTGAAGGTGGGTTTGGTTTGGTTTTTTTTTTCCTTTTTTTTTTCCCTTGCTTTCACTGTATCCTGCAATATGGAATGAAATATGCATTATGTGAAGAATACACCTTCTACTTTGTTTTGAGCCTGCCTCCTGTTTGTCTTCTTTGATGGCCTTTAGCTACTGCATTGACAGGTCTTCTGTGGCTAGTAAGCTGTTTCCCATCTGGCTTTTTCCACTGCTAAGTGTCTTAGTCTTTGATACACTGAAGTTCTTAATGTGGGATAAATCTGCTACATAGAGGAAGTAGGATAGGACTGTTGGTACTAAAGGTGGAGGGGAGAAATTGGGACATTCATGTTGAGACAGAGTTTTGCCACCTAGGGGGAAAAATCAATAAAATTGGAGCAAAGGGATGGCCTTTAAAAGCAAGGTAGCGTGTCTTGCTAAAATATTTTAATGCTAAAACATGATGTAGTTCTTTAATCCAGTCTCAAGCAGTGTCTTGTCTGAATCACTGAAAAAGTTGTAAAACCGTATGCACAAGTGTCTCAGTCTTGAGTTTGATTCTCATAGAAATATTTGCATACTTCAAGGCAGAGTCCCTTATACATTTTAGTATTGGTTAACTGTGGAATAAAGATTTTAATTTTTAAAACATGAAAAATAGCCAGTTATATGCCGAGAAAAATGGGCAGGGGAGTGGATTTGCCAGTAAATTACAGGGAGGTCTTTCACTTCAAATTTTTTTTTTTTTTAACCTTTGTTATTCTGATAAATTTTGCCTTCTTCCCCCCAAAAAAAAACCCAGGGATTTTTATTTAGCTGACTTTTCCCACTTGGAAGCATTTGTGGGATTTTTTTTTTTTTTTTTTTATTTTCCCCTCTAGGTTGCAGATGAAATTCATAGTGTGTAATGTGGAGGAGTCTCCTAAATTGCCTTTTCCTTTACTTGAATTCCTGTCTGCATGACACCCTTCAGTGCAGGTGTAGTAAGTTGGATTGAAAACAGAATCTCTACCTCTGTTTCTTCGGGAGGGGCTGAAAACTAAATAGGCATTTTGAAGTGCTCATCAGCATCTTACTAATGATCTAGCTGCCATTTGCTGAAGGATGATGTCTTGGGTTAATTAGATGATGGAACATCTTGTGAATAGTTGAACTCTTTTTAACTGTTTTGCCACCTGTATTTGAAGAAAGTTGACTGAAAGTTTTAGAAAAGATAACTAAGTTTCTTTCCCTTGAAAACAGGGATTTGAGAGATTATGGCATCTGAAGCCCACAATGTTAGAAAACAGAAAGTATTGCATATTGAAGGTCATCACATTGATCTCCCCAGGAAAAGAATCTCTTCTTCCACTAAAAAGATCATGAAGGAGGTAAGCTCTTTGTGGTTGTGGGTTTGTTGTTTTTTTTTTATGTCCTCAGATGAAACTGACGTAAACATTCAGACAAGTTCATGGTTCTGAGCAGTCTAAAACCAGAAGCACAGCATTATTGGGTATTTCATGTTTAGATGTACAACAGAACTGTAGCTTTAACAGCAATTATATTATGAAAACTATGCATTATAATACATAGACTTTTCAGCAGGATCTGTTGTGATACGGCAAGGGGTTTTGGTTTTAAACTGACAGAGGGGAGATTCAGGCTGGATGTTAGGAAAAAATTCTTTACAAAGAGGATGGTAAAATACTGGCACAGGTTGCCCAAAGAGGTGGTGGATGTGCCACCCCTGGGGGCATTGCCAGGCTGGATGTGTTTCTGGGTAACCTGATCTAGTTGAAGAGGTCCCTGCTTATTGCAGGAGGGTTGGACTAGATGACCTTTGACGATCCACTCCAACCCAAACTGTTCTAAGATTCTATGATAGGCCATCACTGCACAGACTACACAATTACTGGCATCATATCATCCATGTGAGTAATAGGTGCTGATATGGTTTTACTCATGCCTACTCTGCAGTCTATTTAAGAACTGTTACAGTAGAGGAATACTACCATCAAAAAGTTCTCTCTTGCCAGAAGAGCTACGTGGCACAGGTAAGAGGTGTGGTAGGTGGAATACCTGCATTGAAATGGACCTGTCTTTATATTATCATATAGCTGGATCTACCACATTGTCTAGTAACACATAGTCTTTCATTGGATTATTGGTAATCAGAAGCAATTTCTTAAACCTCTTACCTGTCTTACTGGCTGAAGAGTAAAGCAGCAGAGCATGGAGGAAGCATTAGGGACATAAACTTAACTGCAGGATTGCTTCAAAAAGTGGCAAAGATGCCAATATCCTCTGTTTGCTTATTAAAATTATGTATTAAAACCCACATGATTTTGAGCTGGTGTTAAGATCATAGCATTGTTTTGCTGATGTGCACAGCATAAAGAATCATGTCCACCAAGACTTCCACCCAAGTCTTGGAAGGCAGACGCAGGGACTGTGAGAATGAAGACCTTGGGACCACTGTAGGAGAGAATCTGGTTCGAGAGCATCTTAAGAACATGAACACAAGTCCATGCGACCTGATGAAGTCCATCCGCGGGTCTTGAAAGAGCTGGCAAATGAAGTTGCTAAGCCACTGTCCATCATATTTGAAAAATCATGGCAGTCAGGTGAAGTTCCGGATGACTGGAAAAAGGGAAATATAACCCCCATTTTTGGGGTCATCCCCTGGATGACCAGGGGAATTACAGACCAGTCAGTCTCACCTCTGTGCCTGGCAAAATTTTGGAGCAGATTCTCCTGGAAGGCATGCTAAGGCACATGAAAAACAACAAGGTGCTTGGTGACAGCCAGCATGGCTTCACTAAGGGGAAATCCTGCCTGACCAATTTGGTGGCCTTCTATGATGGGGCTATGGAACTGATGGACAGGAATAAAGCAGTTGATGTCATCTACCTGGACTTGTGCAAAGCGCTTGACACTGTCCCCCATGACATCCTTGTCTCTAAATTGGAGAGACATCAATTTGATGGATGGACCACTTGGTGGATAAAGAACTGGCTGGATGGCTGCACACAAAGAGTTGTGGTCAATGGCTCAGTGTCTGGCTGGAGACCAGTAACTTGTGGTGTCCCTCAGGGATTGGTGTTGGGACCGGTCTAGTTCAACATCTTTGTCGCTGACATGGACAGTGGGATTGAGTGCGCCCTCAGCAAGTTTGCCGATGACACCAAGCTGTGTGGTTCAGTTGATACGCTGGAGGGAAGGAATGCCATCCAGAGGGACTTTGACACACTTGTGAGTGACTGATGCCAACCTTATGAAGTTTAACCATGATAAGTGCAAGGTCCTACACCTGGGTCGGAGCATTCCCAGACACAGCTATGGGTTGGGTGGAGAAGAGATTCAGAGCAGCCCTGTGGAGAAGGACTTGGGGGTGTTGGCTGATGCGAAAATTAACATGAGCCAACAGTGTGCACTGCCAGCCCAGAAAGCCAACGGTATCCTGGGCCGCATCAAAAGGAGTGTGACCAGCGGGTCGAAGGAGATGATCCTGCCCCTCTACTCTGCTCTTGTGAGACCTCACTTTGAGTATTGTGCACAGTTCTGGTGTCCTCAGCATAAAAAGGATATGGAACTGTTGGAACAAGTCCAGAGGAGGGCCACAAGGAGGATGGTTAGGGGACTGGAGCACCTCCTGTATGAAGACAGGCTGAGAAGGTTGGGGCTGTTCAGCCTGGAGAAGGGAAGGCTGCGTGGAGACCTCATAGCAGCCTTCCAGTATCTGAAGTGGGGCCTATAGGGGTGCTGGGGAAGGACTCTTCATTAGGGACCCTAGTGACAGGACAAGGGGTAACAGATTAAAACTTAAACAGGGGAAGTTTAGATTGGATATGAGGAAGAAATTCTTTACTGTTAGGGTGGTGAGGCACTGGAATGGGTTGCCCAGGGAGGTTGTGAATGCTCCATCCCTAGCAGTGTTCAAGGCCAAGTTGGACGAAGCCTTGGGTGATATGGTTTAGTGTGATGTGTCCCTGCCCATGGCAGGGGGGTTGGAACTAGATGATCTTAAGGTCCTTTCCAACCCTAACTATTCTATGATTCTATGTAAATTTTCAAGTTGAAATGCCAGCAGTATATGAGCTTAGTACCCGTTCATGTGAAAATACGTATTTCTAACTTGAGCATCTTAGTACTTGTTTCTTTTTACTGGTAAAAAGAGAATGGCACAGTTAGAGCTTCATGTAATGAAGATGAGCTTAAAACATTGAAGACTGCTGTATAAAAAACAGTCTTCAAAAATTCATCTTCAAATTGTGTTGCTTAATTTTCAGAGGTGTGGCACAATCTTGAATGTTTTTTGTTATTCCTGTAGGATATCGCTGTTCTGTGCAGTCTGTCTGGTGTCAGGGTGTTAATCTGTTTCCTGTGAAGGATTTAGGATAATCAAGGTCATGTTGTCTACAGCAGTCTTGATTTTTTTTTCTTGATTTTTTTTTTTTTTTTTTTTTTTTTTCCCCCTTTGGTGTGGAAGTGTTTTGCTATTATCCTTCCTAATACTAGCATCTTACAGGCATCATATTATGGGCCTTTAAATATACGTGAGACAATTAATGCAGTTTTGCCATCAGATTCCAGTAGGCTTTTCATGTGTTGGCGTTTAGTTTGCTTGTAACTAAAGAATCTGTTGCTGATGTCACAATCCCGCCTCTTGCCAAAGATACCCTACAGCTGATCATGGTGCTCCAGGGACAGCTGGGGCAGAGAGTCCATCTTTAGGCCGCTGTGAAATACTTGAAGATTACGGGAAGGTTAACATAGCTGTGCTTAAGTTGCAGAATAGAAAGAGTGGGTGGAAGGGAGGGAATCCCTAGTAAACATAGGCTATGGTCAAGCAGGCTACTTTTTTATGACAAACTGTGGGAGTGTTTAATCCTTTTTAGTAATGCAGGTTTTTTTCTTCTCTATTCCCTTTCTCTCAGGGCAAGAAATCTCCAAAACAGCTGGCTTCATACACAAACAGGTAGGAGAGCAGTGGTGTGAAGAGTCTTGAGTTTCAAGTGAGAGGGAGACAGAGGAAAAAGCAGTTTAAATGTATTACGATACCCAGACAGACAGAGATAAAAGATAGGTCTTAATTTTACTGACAATTGATTCTTGTGTCTTGCTTCCATAATAATAAGTCTCTGCATTCATAAAAGCAAGAAAAAATGTTGGTGGTAGCTCTTACACTTTCATGACTATTTGGGTTATCAGAAGTATCTTGGGGATAAAGTGTTCTAAGTAACCTGCAAGTTCACTACTGAATTCAAGGTGATACATTTTAACTTAACAGAAAGTATTGCTTAGGTTTACAGCAACCTTCACTAAAATACTGCTTTATTGTTGCAGAGTAACAGTTGGAAAAACGGTGGCAAGTCCCCTCTCTCTTTTCAAAGTAGTTTATTGTAAAAGAAAAGTTCATTGCTATACTCCAAAGCCTTGTTACAGAAAGAAACAGCACCCTAAATCTAGGGACTGTGACATGGCAAATAAAGAAAATGAACTGGCTTGTGCAGGCAATCTGCTAGCAAAAGTGCACAATAGTCGTACGTGCTTCCTGAATTCTAGCGACTCTGGCTCATCTCAAACAGAAGGCCCCTCATCCAAGTACAGTGGATTTTTTTCAGAGGTAAGTAGAGTTTAAAGAAACTTTTGTGTCATTAGCTGTGAAATTTTTCAACTATACTAATTTTCTTAACATACAGATTGGCTCAGGTCTTGTTATTTACCATCTTTATCTGGTAAATATCATTACTAATCATTATTTATTATAATACCATTGCCAACAGTACTGCCGGTTTTCCTCATGTTTGGGTCAGCACAGAAGCTCAGATCTTCCAGGCTAGTCTGGGTTAAAATTGCACCAGCACCAAAGGAAAGCCTTCTTTGGACCTAGTTAGGTTTCATGATCTGGCATGATGCATGGCCACACATATGTTATGGAAGTGTGAAAGTGTTAGTGTGTGAATGGGAATAAGCTAGTGAGGTAGGATAAAACCATCTTCAGTAACAGTGTCAGCTTAGTGTGTATGTAACTAGCTTAGGAGTTTGTATGAGACTGTATTTCTTGTTAAGGTTGCTTGATGAAACTCGGTGAATGTTTGTGGGGCTTCTGAAACTGGCTAAAAGGTCAGATATTTAAATGAAATGGGTATTGTGATGGTGTAGTCCATTTAAGTCCCTTAATGTTGAAATTTCCACTTCTGTCACCTTAGATGCTTGTTACCCATTGTGGCTTGCGGGTTTTTAATGTGAGGCATGGCAGGGAAGATCAGATTGAAGACTATCACCATGCTGCCTTTTCATGGTACTGTAAACATGCGCTGCCATGAAGAGACAGCTCAGAGTTCAGTGGGCTGGAGGTACAGATCTGGCACTCCTGCACTCCATCATATTGATGGTTTCAAGGAAGTAGGAGCAGAATAGTTAGAATAAGAAAAGAAGGGTAAAGAAATGAAGACTCGGAAAGATCTAACTTCTGAGAAACTAAAGACAAGATCACTGGCCACAGACGACTGAGATGTGGATGGCTCTGCAGTGTTTATTCCAATCAAAGGAATTTTAATAAAATACCTAAACTTCATTCCAAGAATGAGCTTCTTCAAAAACAAACCTTTTCTGTGAAAGTACAGAAGAATACATATAATTACTTATGTCTGAATCATGTCAAAATTAGTAAACATCTAAGTAAAAAGTACTCAAAGTTGGTGAGAATTATAGATTCATGCTCATGAATGCTCTGTTGAATCATTAGATACCTCTCTTTAGGTGTCTGCAAACCTTATTCTTGTAGCCTGTGGGTTAAGTAGCCTTTATCTATTTGTGCCGCCTTCTAAGGGAAATTTGTGGTGTTTAAGGCCATTGTTAGCTAAATTTCTAAAAGCACACAGGTAGGAAAGTATATTTTCATATACTAAGTTACTATATTAGAGCAGCTTATTGTGTTGTTGCTGGCTACTAAACTTGTGGTAAAATTTTATATTTTCATAAATATACAGGTTTCTCAGGACCATGAAACTATGACTCAAGTTCTTTTCAGCAGGAATCTGAGGCTGAATGTAGCTTTAACCTTTTGGAGAAGAAGGAGTATAAATGAACTGGTCACCTACTTAGTGAGGTAAATTAGGTGTCTCTTCTATATTCTTAAAGTAGTAACAATCCCAAATATGCTGCAGTATTTTTAGGGGTTCCTTAAATGTTGTAACTTCATTATATTTATTCTTTAAATCATAGTTGAAGCATACACTTCAACCTATGTTTTACCAGTAACATTTCTGATATTTTTTCTTAATGATTCTAGGATACAGGATCTTGGAGTAGTAGTAGACTGCCTTCCTGTGCTTACAAAGAGGTACAAACAAAAGGAAGTGGGGGATAAGAATCTGCTATAACCACTCTGACGTTCAAGCACTTCTGAAACATCTTGTGTTTTTTAAGTTTACAGGAAGAAAAACCATTTATTTCAGTTGGCTGCTGTGTAGATCTTTTGCCTTTAGTGAAATCTCTGCTTAAAAGCAAATATGAAGAGTAAGTATTAGTTTCAGATGTTTTCAAAACACTCCTACTTCCTGGCTATGCACTCTCCTAGGCATTAACGGTGTTTAGTCCTCTGACTTTTGTTCCCTCTGCCCCTTCTCCCAAAGCTGCTTTTCTAAAGAAACGCCTACCTGAAGGGAATCTTTCCTGTGAAACTTTCTCCTTTAACAAACTGGTGGTGGAGAAAACCTTTTCTCCAAGGGACTGCAGAAAACTGGCAGGGACTGATTTTGCCCCTAGACAAATTTATTTATCCTAAGCTGTAAAACAGAATAGCATTGAGGCTTTAATATGCTTTATAACATGAAATCAAGGCAAAGGTTTCAGGCAAAATACTTGAATCTCTTCTTTTCAGTAAGAGCTTCAGTTTAGCACTTTAAATACTTGCCTATGTCTTCAATTTCAAGCTTGCCAATTTGTCTAGATTTATATTCCAGAACAGAAAACATGTTGCGTTCTAAGTTGCTTACCATTTTGTCTTGACACTTTAGCTGACCTGTAGATATTGGAGAGTGGGAGAAAAGCGTAATATGTAAAATATGTTGTTACAGATATGTGATAGTTGGTTTAAACTGGCTTCAGGCTGTCATTAAAAGATGGTGGTCAGAACTGTCTGCACATACCGAAAAGGCAGAGGATGGGTGAGTATAGTGTTGGGAAATATTTAAATGTGGGTTTGTAGTTTATTCCATCTCAAAATCTGTTTCAACTTTGATCAGTAGGAGCGCACCTTGTCTACAAAAGAATACTGTAATTTGAAAGTAAAAGCTTAAAAGCACTTATGTTCTTAAGATGCAGGATTGTCATGTTTTGGGATTTTTTTTTTTTTGGGGGGGGTGGTTTTTTTGTTTTAGTACATCTAACATATAGTCATATCAGGGGTTAATACAAATGCTGTAGAAGTTGGATCAAAGTTTTTCCGATATTGTGGCAGTATCATATAGACTAAGTCTATATGTAGTAGTTGTGTTTCAGGCAGAAAGTACTGAAATGTATGCATTTTATAAAGTGGTGGTCATTCTTTTTTCAGAAACATTCATATTTTAAAACAAGAATTGAGTGGTTTATGGGAACAGCAGAATCATCTGACACTGGTTCCAGGATATACTGGTAACGTAGCTAAGGTAATCCAGTTCCGGTTGTGTTTAGTAATGAACATATAATTGCATCACTTGCAGTATTACTCTCGTTTGGTGTTATTTATGCTAAACTATTGATGGATATAAACACCTTTATTTTCCACTAATGCTCAAGCATATTGCACAATTTTTACAAGAGCAAAGAGCCTCAAGCTGCGCCAGGTTTGGTTTAGACTGGATATTAGGAAAAATTTCTTTACCAAGAGGGTGATCAGGTATTGGAACAGGCTGCCCAGGAAAGTGGTGGAATCACTGTCCCTGGAAGTGTTCAAAGACTGTGTAAACGAGGCCCTTAGTGACATGGTTTAGTGTTGGACTTGGCAGTCCTGGGATAAAAGGTTGGACTTGATGATCTTAAAGGTCTTTTCCAACCTAGTTGATTCTGTGATTTTATAGCCATTGTTTTAAGTGTAATACAGCAGGGAGAATCTTAGCCCAGCACTGTTAGCATTTGCACATCAAGTGACTGGGGCAAGTGCCAAGATACTAAATCTTAAAAGCGTATTGCTGGCCTAATGCTTAAATGAGTTTGTGGGTAGCAAAAAAGTGTCTCCATCTGAAGTGAACCTTATTTGCCTTTTCTCAAGGCAAACATGTTGTGGTATCAGTAATATAATGTCTGGTAGATGTATGATTTCTGCTCATGATACTCCTGTCTATTAACATGGCTTTCTGAGGTTGGGCACTAAGAATTACACAGAATAAGAAACCTGTCCACATAGAGGGACCTGATGAAGGCAGACAGTGGGAAAGGGCTTAAAGCAGACACTTGGTTATGTGTAGGATTTGAGTGAACTTGAGAAGGACTTAAAGATTGAATGCTTATAGATTCTGCAAAGATCCTTCAGATACAATTCTATGGCTACAGAATTTGTCACTTTGATGTATCAACGAAGCAATTTATTTCTTGTTCTTCTGCAACTGCTGTGCTCCTCTGACTTCAATTTTGATGCCTCTATGATGATAATTACAAATGTCTTACAGCTTCAGTCAGCAGGCATGCAGAACTGAGTTCTAACTCCCAAATGGTAGAGCAGTAAGAGCTTGTAATACAGACTGCCTAGTTCTTCTGGTAGATCAACACAGCAGTTACAGCCAGTGTCAGTTTATTTCTCTGGGATTCTGTTTCCCTTCCTGTTTGTTTGCCTGTTTCTTAATGTATATCAGGATAGATTGTGATCTGAACAAGTCAAGAGCAGTAGGACTAGTACAAGTATGCTGGAGGGATGTGGTGAAGGAACATCACTCTTAATAAACATGTTCCAAATACATGATCTCATGATGATGACTTCTTTTCCTGTGAATGCACTGAGCAGAGAAAAAACTGAATTGGTGCTTTGGAAACTAATCACACTGTTCTGCAGACTTTTCATTACATAAAGAAATGCCATTAAAAGCATTAACTGAAAGTAATCTTGAAGATAACTTGTTCTGAAATTTGGCCTATATATAATTACTCTTGTATTAATGTCCTGATAGGTTACCCATTGACATACAGTCGATGTTACAGCTACAAGTAATGTGACAAACTCTTTCTCCTGGTTTTTGTTTTTGTTTTTTTTTTCCTTCTAGGATATAAATGCTTATTTATTACAGCTGCACTGACATGATTGGGAAACTGGGCTTACGTGAAATGTGTACTATGAAAGCCTTTTGAGAAATACTGGCGGAAGAGAACTGAACTGTCAAGCTGTTTAATAAAACCACTAACATCATAACCATCTACTTCACATTGAAGTGGAAAAATGTCTAGTAGGAGCAACTTTTACTTCAGTGAGGTGAAAGTGCACTATGAAAACTGTATGCCTTTGCTGCATTTGGGATTCACTTAGTTACTAGGTATTCATTGAAATGCTACTGTATTTTACTACAATATCCCACAAAAGATGAATTATCCTGTTATGAAGCCAAGACAGCTGAACCAGTTACAAGGAACCAACAAAAGCAATCAGCATTAAGAGTTTTAAAATCTGTCTTTTACAAGAGAACTCCAAAATGCACAACTATCTTCCAGTTACATTTAAAAAAAAACCACAAAAAACTTCAGAATATTCAATTACTTCTATGTTTTAATCAAATTATTAAAGACAGTTTTTGTTTGCACTATTGAGAAAAACTACACAGCAAAGATGCCTTAATTACTAGTGTTTCAAAAAGCCAATGTGTTAAGATGCAGATAGCTATTATGTTCAGATTGTGATGAAAAACTACAAAAATCAGGGTTTCACATTGTGTAGTTAATGAAACATTGCACATATACAAAGATTAATGTATGAAAAATATTATAAATACCTGAAGTTAAGCTCGGATAAACAGTTGCAAGTGTCAGCAGAATGGTGACTTTGTCTAACAAATGTTTTTATATTGTATGTGAATTTCTAACATGGTAATCTTGTTCTGTATCATTTAAAGTACATGCAAATAAGTAAATATATTAAATGTATCTACTGTTTTTTTCTTTTCAAGTTCATAAAACAATTTCTAGAATAATCTCTTCCACTGTACTTCTAATCATAGGTATTTATGTCTATTGTTTGAAATGTTTACAGCCAGATGAGGCCATGTTTTGCAAGTGGCAAGCTTTTTATACTACCTCCTTTAAGAAAATGACAGCTTCTGCAAAATTAAGTTTTAGCCTGAGCAATGATGGCAATTTTATACCAACAATAGCATTGAAAATACAGCTATAAACTCTTCTACTGTCCTTTTGCTATCCTGTACTATTTTAATTTAAAAGCTATCACTTAATAGCTCTGAGGGAGTTTTGATTTAGACTTGCTATTGCTTTTTATGACTAGGAAGCATGCTTTTCCAATTAAAACTTGTGAAGTGCCACCTGTTCACTTAAAACATAAATACATGCAAAGCATGTATCACCAAACAGTCTACTTCTTTAAAAAACTAAGTATTTACAAGAGTTGTTTTCATACCTAGCATTAAGCATTGCACTTTTATTGATGTGCAAGAGAAAAGTCTTTTGATAGCCCCAAGTGGTTTTTGCTTTACAGATGAAATAAATTAATTTTAAACTGATGTGTAGTGGTCAACAGCTTTAGGCCTCCTGTTGCTTTGTTTTGTATTTAATTTACATATTATTGCTGTCTTTTGAAGGCCAGCTAGAAAGATATCAGAATTTGGTGCTTTTGGTTATTTGAATGTTCTTTAAACCACCAAAGGTTTTGCACTTCCCTGGGCAATGCAATTTGTTACAGGGAAGAGTTCTGAGACATCCCAAAACAGATAACTCTGTGGACAATCTTGAGATACACACAGCCAAATCTTTTTGCTTGAATTTTCATGTATCGTTAGAGATATTTCACGCTCGGAGTTTGAGATAAAACTGACTGCTTTTCAAATGTCCTTGCTGACAATTAAAAGTTTAAAGGAACTACAGTATGATTCCATTCTCATATTTACTGTTCTGTTGAGCACTTAAATGTAATAGTAACAGAAAGACTAGCTTTATAATTTGGGTAGCAGCTGCTGAAACTCTACAGTATTCTTGTGCAATTATCTAAAAGGTGATGAAATTCAGATCTGCTTGTTGGTTGTTTTTTTTGGGGGGGGGGATTGGATTTTTTTTTTAACAGAATGAAGTAACTCATGGCCATTTATTTCTGGTAATAATAAGTAATCATTCTAATTGATTAAAGTGAAATACTCTAGTATACAAAAATCTAGCTTGACTGTAGATGTAAATACATGGGCTTGTAATGAATTCTGCATGTGGCCATGGATTTATCAACATGTAACTGTGGATGGTGCTTTTGTTTCTAGTGGCAAGGTAAGATTGACTTGAGGATCACTCCTGAGAAATATCTAATAAAATTATGCTTTTTTTTTTTTAACTGCCAAAAGTTGTATTTTGACAGCATAAATAATACAGTATTAAACATTAAGTCATTAGTATCTGTGCCTTACTTTAGAAGAAATTTTCTTACTGTTTTCAGGCAGTTACTAGATTTATAAGAACAGGATTCTGGTGTCTCCATTATGAAATGATTTTTCTGTCATAATCTTGAACTGATTTCAGACTATTCACACTGACATTCAAGCTTGGGTGCCTGTATGCTCTTTAGTCCTCAAATAGCTAGGAATCGGTTTTGCTGTAATACAATGTAGATGTATGATAGCTGCTCAATGGTAATGAGTAAAATGTCTTAATAGCTGTGTAACTCCTTGAAATCTATGCAGTTGTCTCAGTGAATCTAAGAAGTTTACGAAGTCATGTGCACAAATGCTAATTTTTATGTGATAATTTCTCAAAAACCTGTTTCTAGGAGTGTCAAAAGATCCAGAAATAATTAATCCCTTATCCTGCATGGTTTTGTGATGCAGGAGCATGTACATACTTGAGAGTGAAGGGTGATTCTGCGAAGCTGTTCTTCATGTAATACCACTTGATATGAAATTAATGTCCTTGAAAAACAGTATGTCTTTTGCCTCCATGTTCCTTGAGACTACTAGAGGCTATTTTGCTGAAAAGGTTTTTATCTGAAGCATGAACTAGGGCTTACTCATCCCCTAAACTGAAATTAAAGAAGCTGCCTGGTAAACTACCTCTTTGCGCACAGGTGAAAAAAAAAAAAAACCTCCAATGTTCTGTTGATGTAAGAATCAGAGTTTAGGTATTGCTGATAGTTTGCTGAAGAGTGGAGATGGGAAAAGCTACCCCATTAATTAGCTGAGTACAAAGAAGCTCGTGTGTCTTGATGATTATGTATAGCTCCATTTTTAAGGAGTTCTACCTGTTTCTTAGTGAAGAGTACTCTGCAGTGGAACACCCTTGTATCGCACAGGTGCTGCAGTTCCAGGCTGCTTAATAGTGCTTACAAATTGTTGCTAGTATAAAAAAAAATAGCATCAGCCCTACAGGAGCTTATCATCCTCAGTAAAGTATAATTAAAATTATCTTCCCCTTTCTGTCAGCTGTTTTACTGTTATCAGAGGCTGCAGTTTTAACACATGGGGTGCAGGATGGGTAGGGTGCAGAGAATAGGAAAGGACAAAAAAAGTACTGATATAGTGAGATCAGTCCCACTGCATTGTACTGTACCTATGTTAAAGCAGGCTCTATTTTCATTTTCAGGTGTATGAAGTAGGCAATTGGGGGGTTACAGGTCTCTCTCCATTTTGTATTGAAGGGATGTTTGAAGTGCTGATTTGTGGTATTTTGTTTTTGTTGGGCATTTTCTTGAAATGGTGGACACTTTTGTGTGTAGAAACTCGAAAGCGTCTTTGCGTAAAGCTTATGCTTGTCAGCTAGCAAGTGATTGCTTTTGCCAGTTCATCTTGCCAGATCTTCCAGTTTTACAGAAGAATGAATGTCTCTCTCAGTGTGGAAATTTGCAGCTATGTTTTGCGCTCAGTTTGCTAGTACAAAGGAAAACGGGTGGCTTATAGTCAACTATTTCAGAATACAAAACCATGCAAATCATGCTACTAGTGTGAAATTATTCCAACTTTTGTATAAGGCAAATTAGTTTATGAAAGCATTTGGCTCTTGTGTGAGGAACTTTATGTTGAAATGATGCTGCATGGGGGGGGGGGGGGGAACGATGGGACTGGTTTTAATAGCCTTGGTAAAGATCAGATAGTGTAGTTTAATTTCTCTGTCTTCCTACACACAGTAATCATAGGCTACAGATGAAGATTCACTGAGAGAATAGGTAGAGCATGCTTGTGTTGATAGTGCTTATGTTATACTACTCTAAATGGCTTGGTTTGTGTATTAGGATTGAGACTAAATGCAAGTGTATTTTCTCCCTCCATTCTTCAGCAGTTAATGATGTGATTGCTTCCTCTTCTGGTTGAAACATAATGTGAGTATTGTTAGAAGAGAGGAGGAGGAAAATTCTTGATAAACCTGAGGGCTAGCTATTTAACATTATTCACTTTGAAGCAATTGTGAACATTTTTCCCTCAAAAACTTTTCACACAAATTTTGTTAATACCTACTAACTAAAGTGGATGATCATGGCTGCAAGTTTGAGTTTGAACTTGACTGGGGAAAAATACTCACTCTAAATAACCATAGCTGCAGAATTATTTTTTTTTTTTCTATGGAGTACCAAGTTGGGCTCTGTTGCAAACCTGCTGTACGGGAGGCAGGAGGTGTAGCACTGTGCCTTAATGCGATAGAATATTTTGTTTCTGTACTGACTAGATTTTTGTAGTATATCTCTTCATGCAGATTGTAGCTGCTGATCACATAGCTATAAAATGAGGTCTGCTTATTTGGATTGAATGTGATGCCTCGTTTCAGTTTTGTACAGATCACTGTTCACTTGGTCATTACTTGAACTACAGATGAACAACCATGGGGTCTTGAACATCTTACTCTGCTGTAACAAAATACAAGGATGCCATATTTGTATTTTCCACCCCCACTCCCCTTAATTTTTGTGCTTAAAGCCATCTGAATTCCCTTTGGGAATTAACAGCTTCCAGACCACATGAACACATGATGAAAACAGCTTTACGGTATTTTTTTTGTAAGCACTGTGTGTGTTGTGAAACAACTAAGATAAATCTGAATATCAAGATAATGTTACATTCCAAGACTGCCTCCTTTTGTGGGTGTAAATGTTGGAACACATACATACCCTGGCATCATACTTTAAAGTGACCTGCAGTTTCAAATAGCTCTTGTAATTTAGGTTGATGGCTCTTTTAAAAGCTGTATTTAATCTACTGAGCTTCGCTTTCAGAAAGTCTGAATTATGTTTGCAACTTGCAGCTGCCACTTTCACGCCTGTTTCAGGATGGATTGAAAGACTTGGTATGTCTTTGGATTGAATTGATTTAAAGACTTGGTACAGTTTCAGCTTCAGAAAAATAGCTGGTCTTTTTTGTCAGCAGGCTTTCTTTATGTCTCTCTTCTGCATGAGACAAACTTGTTTTCTGCAAGAGTTTAAATCGTTTTTTAGCAACACTTTCAGAGGAGGATTGCCACATCCAAGAAGCCTGTAGCATGTTTGATTCCAAATGGAGAAGTTGCACAAATACAGCCAGCTGTTGGGAGAATGTAGTTCATTACTGTTGAGTTTTCTTATCGCATGTGAATCAGCTGTGGTAGTACCTAGTTGGTTTAGATAAAAGTGGAATGATGGATTATTGGGGAGTTGAAGTCTTCAAAACTCTTGGCTGTAAGAAACCAAAAATGCTATTTCCATGCTGATGAAAGTACTACAACAAATGAAGAGAGGAACTATTTGTCATGTGCTTGGTTTGGAGGGCTGAAATATCTTCTTTCTATGTCTGCTAATAGTACTTCGTTTTGAAGCTGAAAGGCATAGACGTTTATGTGTGTTTATTTAAAACAATGAAGTTTCTGACTGAAAAGGAGAAAAACCTTTGCTGTGTTAGTTCATTTCTGGATGACTGTGCCACCCCTGTTCCAGCTGCAGAAGAAAGTAAATAAAATTCTAAAAATAATAACGAACCATCATTGTGCAAGTAGTGGTAAAACTTTATTT